GAACGGATAAGATCTGCTAATGCTATTCCTTCATCCTCATGCCAAACACTGGCCTTAATTTTTTCAATATAATGACATTCTTTTGATATTAAATTAAAAAGTTGAACTTTTTGCGCTGGCCATTGATAACTGCAATCAAAATAAGTCAGACTATTAAATATAGAAGTGCATTCAGAAAAATAAGGAAGGACCAAAGATGCTACTTCATCATTACTTTTAAAATATTGACTAAATAGATAGTCATGTATTTTAAATCTACGTAATTTCGTATCTCTGATTGAAAATATTTTCAATAATTCTATTATAACATCTTTACAACAATTGTTCGCTACGGCAGCATTAATAAATCGATCATATGAGAACTCCTTAAGAAATGATGGATAGTCAAACAAAGGTGGTCTATTAATCGATAACCCTCTGTCTAAGTTTGAAATAGCCCTATCTGGTATAAACGCAAGATAGGTTTGAATCACTTTAGGAGACGGAATAAAATTATCACTAATTCTGAATGGCGCTTCCCATAAAATCGGAATGGCACAAGTAGCCCAATATTTATTAACCAAAAGGCAAGAGTACAAATCTTTATTAGTTGGAAGGAATCTAAAGATCGCCCCAAAGTATTCCGGTGAAAATTTTTGATCCATTATATTTAAATTTGGCTGTACGAGTTGTTTGTCAAGTATTATGTACTAAAAATTTTTAAGTATTTTTATGATAATTTATAAAATGTTATCGATTTCATAGTTTATAAAATGTTATCGATGTGAGAATATAGTTCTTTTTATTAACGGATTTGCTTTCACACTATACGAATTACCGAAATGAAATTACATATAAATAAAATTTAACAAATCGGAATATGACCCCGAGCTAGGTAACACAACAGGAATGCGTTGCTAACATATATAAAAAATTAAAAACTTTGATCTTTGCTTATTTTCGGTAAAATTTGGAAAATTTACTATGAAAAAAAATACCACAGCGTGCTGCTACTTGTTGCCTTTATATAGATTGCTCAGGGTTCTATCACAGTATCGGTTTGATTTTAGAGGTTAAAGATGTATTATATTTCCGGATTAATAAATATATATATAGATTAATTAGCTCTAATTTTGGACAATGTTGATTTTCTATAATAATAATACTGTAATACAGAGGTTACCGTAAACGACCCGACCCTAGCGTCGCCTGTAAAAAATGGTAGACCTGCCGGTGACATATGATTTCGGATCATATTATCGGACAAATTTGATTAAAGCATTGGATTTAATCCTTTAAAAATTTATCATTCGTTATGATAAGGTAGGTTTCAAATTTAGTTATTAGGTTTTAATTCATAATTTTTTTTTATTGATTTGTAACTTTCTTTTAATTATACACGTAGAAATATGGTCAACTCTGCAACAAACTTCTCTATAATGAATTCTCACTAAAAATCCTTAAATTTTGCATTAGTTCTGTATAGAAGGAGTTATGGCTTCTTAAGAAAATATAGTAATTTTGTATAGCGAACTTCTTTTTTTTTTGCATTCAGAATCATTAGTCCGTTAATAAAGTGCTGACTATGTATGCATATTTTATAATACAAAAAAAAACAATTTTTTTTATATTGAACCAATAAACAAAAAATTACTAAAGTCCTATTACACTTAAACTATGAAAAAGCATTTACAATATTGAACTTACAAACCAGCAATTGTACTAGACAGTAATCTATTTGAATTACAAAAAGTGTTTACTATACTAAAATAAATCGTCATTTGAAATTAGAATGTAAATAAGCACCTCTTTGTTTCTAAAAGTTTCTAGTTTTAGGGTGTTCTCAAGTAGCACGCTCGATGTGATTAGCTAGTGATTGTGATAGTGCACAACCATTATAATAATATT